GTAAGATTCTTACACTATATATAAAGTGGCATAATATTACTTGAAGGTAGGTTATGAGAAGCTAAAGATGTTGTTGTGGGTAGAATTGTGCTTCCTCAAATGTTTAGGTCATAATTCAAATACCTATGAATATGTCCTTATTTGGAAACAGGTCTTTGTAGGTATAATCAAGTTAAGATGAAGTAGATCAGATTACAATGGACCTTCATCTAATAATTGCTGTCCTATAAGAAAAGGGAAGTTTGGGCACACAGACACACACAAAGGGAAGATGGTCACATCAAAGACACAGGGAAATACTGTGAATACAGAAGCTGAGACTGAAATGATGCTTTTAACAAACCAAGAGACACCAGGGATTGCCAGCAATCTCTAGATGCTAGGAGAGAGGCAAAAAACAGATTCTCCTTCAAGGCCTTCCTTAGAAACCAATCTTGCCAATACAGTGATTTCAGACTTCTAGATTCCCAAATAGTGAGAAAAAATATTTGTTGTTTTCATACTTTCTTACAATAGCCTTAGGAAACTAACAGACACATGTTATACATGATAAAACAATCATTATAATTTTTAAAAGAATTACAGCTACTAACAGAGATAAAATGGAATTTAAAATTCAAATCATCAAAACATAAAGGCTGAATAAAGGAAAAAGGGAGCATAAAACAATAAGATGAATAGAAAATAAATACCAAGATGATAAACCTGAACCCTAGAATACAAAAAAAATCACATTATACATAAATGGTCTAAATTTTCCCTCATTAAATTCAGAAATTGTCAATTCTGATAAAAGCTAAAATCCAACTATACATTAACTATAAGAACGTGCATTAAATATGAAGATTCACATAGGCTTAAAAATGGAAAAGTTATATTATGCTAATACTAATCAAAAGAAAGTGATTGGAGTGGCTATATTAATATTGAACAAGATAGGTTTCAAAGAAAGAATAATATCAAGAAATAAAAAAGTTATTCAGGATGATACAAGGATCAATTGCCCTAAGTGTAATAATGGATCTTGCAAATGTGAAGCAAGAGCTCATAGAACTGAAAAGAGAAATAAAAAACTCCAGAATAGTTGGAGATTTCAATAACACTCTCTAAATAACTGGCTGAACAGTTGGTAGAAATTTAGAAAGAATAAAGAATGCTTAAACAACACTATCAGCCTGTCACAGTGGATTGTGCCTATAGTTCTAGCTGTGCAGCAGAATCTCTTGAGCCCAGGAGTTCAAGGTCAACACCAGCAACACAGTGAGACTTCATCTCTCTAAAGGAAAAGAAAAGAAAAACCCTAATTTGTGCTCATTGGTATTTTCAGAACTCCTGGGACAACAGCAGAATATACATTCTTTTCAAGCACACATATAACACCAAAATGGACCAGAATCAGCATTACAAATTTCAATAATATTTTGAAAGGATTCAAATCATCCCAAGTACATTCTTTGACCATAATAGAGTTAAATTAAAAATTAAAAAGTACAACAGCATGATGGTGATGCACACCTATAATCCCAGTGACTCAGGAGGCTGAAGCAGGAGGATCTCAAGTACAGAACCAGCCTCAGCAACTTAATGAGTCCCTAAGCAGCTTAGCAAGACCCTGTCTCAAAATAAAAAAAAAAAAAAAGTATAAGGTAAGATTAGGGCTGGGGATGTGGCTCGGTGGTTAAGCACCCCTAATTAAAAAAAAAAAAAAATCAATAGAGGAATAGTATCTAGTAAACTAAAAATATAGGAAACTTACACACTTTTAAATAATCCACATATCAAAGAAGAAACCAAAGAGAAATTAGAAAGTTTTTTTAACTGAATTAAAATAATTTTTGAAAATCTGTGGGATACAGTTAAAATGTACTTAAAGGAAATCTGTAATACTAAATGTTATAGGGAAAAATCAATCTCAAATCAATGACCCCATCTACAGAAACTTGACAAAAAAGTATTTTAATCTCAGGTAAAATTAAGAAAGGAAATAATACAGACTGGAGAACAAATCAAACACAGAAAATCCAACAGAAAACAAAAAAATCAATTAAACCAAGAAGCTGATTATTGAAGATTAAAAAAAAAAGATAAATCAGCCAGAAACATGATGCACACCTGTAAACCCAGCAACTCGGGAGGCTGAGGCAACAGGAAGGCAAGGACTGAGACCTTTTTACTTTATAGTAGTAGAGCACCTCTGGGTTCAATCCCCCTATCAGAGAAAAATAAATAAATAAAAAGATCAGCCATGAGCCAGACAGATCAAACATAAAAAAGAAAATTCAAATGACCAATACCAAAAGAGATGTTCCTTCACTATAGATTCCATAGATATTAAAATGATAATAAGGAAACACTTTTAATAATTTAATCCAATAAATCTGGGAACTTAGATGAAATGGACATTTCATTTTGTCTTGTGAGGGCTTATGAAGTTCACTGAAGATACACATAACCATAATAACCATGTATCTATTATAGTTATTAAATTTATACTTAAAATTCTCTCCACTAGAAAAACTCCAGGTCCAGAAGTCTTCACTGGTAAATTCTACCATCTGAGAAATAATACCAATATAAAACTCTCCAGAATAATTGAAGAGAAATTTGCCAACTCATTTAAAAAGCCCAGCACTACCCTGATATTAAACAGATATTGTAAGGAAAGAAACAACAGTCCCATACTCCCCATGAACATAGATGAAAAAAATTTAAATTTTAGCAAACCAATATATATAAGGTAGTATACCTCATGACAAAGTGAGGCTTATTCCAGAAATACAAAAGTGACTTAACATTGAAAAAATGCATTCATGCTTGCCTAGTAAAAACAAAGGCCCAGGTTTGATCATCAGCACTGCTAAAAAAAAAAAAAAAAAAAAGAAAAAAGAAATTAATACATCCTCTTCTATATGTATGCTTTTGATTGATTTCTAATCTCTTTTAAAATCTTACTGCCCAGTTTTATAATTATTATTAATAAAAGTATTTATCCAATATAAGCTACTCGGTCATTTCTAGAATCTGAAAGTCCCTCTTTGGTTTTTTGATTATCATCTTTGGAAAATGTGAAATTGCTCTGGATCAACTACTTTCAGTAGCAATGAAGTCAGAGCCACATTTCTGGAATTTTCTTTGCAACACAGAAAGGTATATATAGTCCAGGTGAAGGATGATAGATTAAGGTAGTAGTAATTAAAATAGTGGTAAGTGGTCAGATTCCATTTTCTTGGTTTGGATTGGCTATTTTAAGTACCAATATTTGTTGTTAGAAAGAGCTCAGACAGGCCATAATAAAATTATCTAGATATTCTTATTCAGAATTTCTCAAAGCTTTTTTGTAAATCAAAACAGCAACATTCATTTTTAGTAACAGAAAAAAAAATATGCTTTGACAAATTGTTCTTCGTTTCCTACTTTGAAAATAAGTACATTGGTCTAGTGCAAGCATCACAGGCATTGCAGATTTATAACTCCATTTCCATTTCCTTTCTTTCTATGTACAGCCCAAGTTCAGCTAAACTGTTGGGAATAAGAAATTTTCATAGATGCCATGCAAAAACTGGCTGCAAGGAGGACAAAAGTAGAATCTGTAAGATAAACAAATCACCTCCAGTGCCTAGGTGGGAGACAGTTATGAAGGATATTTAAGAGAAAAATAGAAGTTCATGATTGATTAGCCTGTAGGGAGTAATGTCATTGTACAGGAACTCAGGTTTCTGGCCTGTCCATCAAGATGGATGTTGTCATCAACCCCTGAGAGAGGAAACAATACAGGTCCAGATATAAGAGTGGGAAACACATTTGATTTTTGACTTTTTGAGTATGTCTTCAAATTTTTAATTTGGAAACACCTAATTAATCTTCATCTCTAGTATCACCGCCATTTTTTTCTGTACATATTAATTGTATCAAAGTGAAATTATGATTATGTCACTCCCATTTTTAACTACTATCTTCCTGTAAATACAGCAAATGAAAGGAAGCAAATTCTTAGACAGACATTTAAGACATTCCATACTCTTTGTTTCTATTTTACCTTCTAAACCTTATCTCCAATTATTCATTACCAGTTGGTAGTTTTACAGTTTCTACATAATGAAGAAACACAGTCTGATATTCAGAATTCCTATTGAATTCCATTCAGGCCAACTCAGTGAGCAAACTACTGTGATTTAGTGTTTGCTTCCAACCTTGAGATGGAAGGCAAGGCATTTGAAAGAAAGACTAGAAAATTTCCTTCTTTTACACTTTCATGAACATAAATCTTTATATCTCTGCAAGTTTAGAAACTACAGTTATACACTTCCTTTGCACCAGGAAATGAGCCTAAAAGTCAAGCAACCCTGATATGGATTGATAGTAAGGATAATGAAACACTTTATCAGTTGCTCAAAAATTTGAAGGATGAAAATTAAAATCTGAGATGTATTATGATCGCGTATTTGCTATATTTAACTGTGTACTTATTACAATAGTTTTTTACCTTCTAATAATTTAGATGTAGCTTCTAAATCAGCACTGTCCAGTAGAAATGTACTACAAACCACATACTATAAATATCACATTTTCCTAGTAGCTGTACCTAAACAATTTTATTTCATCTAATATATTTAAACTATTATCATTTCAATATATAATATAAAAAAATTATACTAAATCTTCAAAATCTTATGTTTTATACTTACAGCAAATCTCAATTTTGAAATTTTGACTAGTATATTTCCTGTGCTTAATACTCATGTGTGATAGCAACTACTGTACTAGAATATACAATTGTGAATCAAACATTGAACAATCAAACAATTCCTAAGCAGCAACATGATGCCAGCTGCTGAGTTGACTTGCCACACTTCCATTGACTTGGCTAGTAATGAGACAGTGAGTCCTACTAGATTAAGTAGACTGTAATGAGACAGTGAGTCCTACTAGATTAAGTAGACTGTAATGAGACAGTGAGTCCTACTAGATTAAGTAGACTGTAATGAGACAGTGAGTCCTACTAGATTAAGTAGACTTTATTAGTCATGGCACAGCAGGCGGCATGAGCTTTCACATTTTCATTGCTTTATCTGGCCACTTGAGTCCCACAAAAGTTATTTGGAGGTGAACCCAGGTGAATGTTTGTTAGTTAGCTTTCCATCGTTGTAACAAAATATCTGGAAAACAAAATTAAAGGAGGAGAGATTTATTTTGGATCAGTCTCAAAGGTTTCATTCCATTGTCAGCTGGCTCCATTGTTTCTGGGCTTGTGGTGAAGCAGTACAACTTGGTGGAAGGGCATGCAAGGGCAAAGCTGCTCATATCCTGGTAGCTAGAAATCAGAGAAAGAGGGAAGGAGAGAAAAAGAGAGGAGAGAGAGGAAAGAGGGAGGAGGGGGCAAGAGGGAGAGAGACAGAAAGAGCAGGTAACAATATGTAGTTCCCAAGGGGACATCCTCAAGGATCCATTCCCTTCAGCTAGGTCCTACTCCTACATTTTCTACACCCTCCCAATAAGTTCATTCAGTAATGACTCCAACAATGGATTAATCCATTGATGAGATCATAGCCCCATGATCCAATCACTTCTACAAAGTCCAATACCGCTGAACATTGCTGCATTAGGAACCAAATCTTAAACATATGAGCCTTTGTGGTACACTACGGATTCAAACCATAACAGTTTTAGACACAAAGTGGATACATGTCATGGCAAAGGAATACCATTATTAGGTAATTCCTAATTTTACAAAGGAGCTACAAGCAAAGCTGTTCAAGCTTTGTTCATAAGGGAGACATATCTTTATATCTGTGTCAGAAAACAAATCTGCACTCTGACCCAGAAGGAAACACACTTTGAAATTTCAAAGTCTGCTATGCAAACATCTAAGTCACAAGATATAGCAGTGCCACTGAGAGAATCAGCTTTTTTTCTTAAAAGCCTTCTTAGATATTTCAGGCAGAGTTAGATGTTCCATAGTATCCTCTATGTATCTCAAAAATAGCACAGAACTCACAAATTGTTTTTGTACTTGTCCGTCTCTCTCACTATTCTATGAGCTCCTGAGAGCCAGTGAAAGAAACATCAGTTCTCAATAAATACTTGATGAAGAAATAAATGCTTTGAAAGAAGGAGGATAATGAGAAACTAATAGGAGGAATTTAGTTTAGACTGGTGGTCAAGAAAAGTCAAGGTTTGATTAATCCAAAGAATAAGAAGTCAGCCATGTAAAATCTAGGGAGGAAGAGTGGTTAAAGAGGAGCAACATGGCTAAAGAATCTACAGCATCAAAAAGCTTGGAGAGTTGAGGAACTGAAAAACCAAAGCATCTAGACAAACACAGCAAGTGAGAATTCAAATATTTTAACTTGGGAGAAGTGAGAATGGAGTCAAATTATGCAGGATTTTAAAGACCATATTAAGGACCTGGAGTTTATTCAAAGTCTATGGAAAACCATTAAATAATTTTTAGAAGGGCATATTATAATCTAATTTTCAAATGTAAATTAATGTAATCTCTAACAGGTGCCTTGTAAAATATGGACAGAAGTCACAAATTCTTTCATAGTAAATGGTAATTAATGATGTCTTGTTTTGCTGCTTCATCTTGAGACTTAAATTCATCTTTCTTCTCAGGAATTTGGTTCTCTGAGACTAAAAACTGAACACTTTCCTTTCTCTGCCTTAATATTAAATACTAACCAAGCTAACCTATTAGCCATTTCCTTAAATACCTTATACTTTCTGACATTCAAACCTCACTTGTAACACCTTCTTCTACTAAAATTTTATCATTCTTTAGTGTCTAGTTTACTGTTTTTATATTTTTAAAATTGTCAATATACTAAATTTCCATTATTAATCCATAATGGCATGCTACCAGTTCTACACAGCATGAACATTTACTAATTTGAAAATTGGTTTCAAACCTTTAAAAATAAGATTAGGTAAAGAGTATAAAATAGAATCAGAAAACAAAAAAGTATTCACATGCCAAAAAAAAAAAAAATGTTAGTTTTCCCCAACTCTCTGCATTTATCTCACAAACTTTCCTACTGGGAAACGTTCCACCTAGGAATCTGAGAAATTGTTTTCTTTTCTGGTTCTCTGACTACAGATGATGTGATATTGCTAAATCCCTCTCACACAAGGAGTTTTGGAGCTCTTTATACTACTCACCTTGCCTATAAAGGTCCCCCTTTATCTTGAATACTATGTTCTCCTTACTTTGATAAAATTCAATGATTTTCAAAGCAACCTTGGTACGCATTTTTATTGGACCCTCACAACTTAACAAAATAATGAAGGCATATTTTCCCCTTTTGTTTTAAAGATGAAGAAAGAGGCTGAGGAGATGAGAACTAAGACAAACGTCTTCAGTCTTGGTCCAACACACTGATTTTCAATTTTCTTGATCGACGGAGACCCTAGGATGTTCTGGGAACAGTTTCTCTTTCACCCCATTCGTCCAACTCTGCTTTCAAATAAGCGGTATTTTGCAGGACACCAAAAATCCTCTGAAAACAAGTTCTTGCTCTTGCGTTGCTCAGGTTATGTTGGAATAACCCAACAGATCAAAACATGGAACGAAGCGCTTAAAGTCCAAGGGAGAGTAGAAAGTCGGTGGAGCAAAGAAATCTCAGCTCCTCTTCTCATTTTAACCAGAGTTCCCTTCACTTACTAACAGCTGTGTGGTTTTCATATACCCCATGCAAACTTCAAGAGATGGACTCTACTGATCAGGAAGTTGAGTAACATGCTCAAAGTTGGTTTCTGTAGAAGTCGGTTTAGGTTCACCCAATTTACATACCAGAATTAATTTCTGCAAGGCCTGTCCTGAGACGCCAGGGTGGGTGAAAGGCGCATCCTCGACAAGAGGCAAACCTCATAGCCGACCCGCCCAGCCTCTCCCTCGGCCGGAAGCCACTCAACAGGAAGCGGCTGCTACCTCCGAGTCACGTGTCTGCCGAAGATGGCTGCGCTGGGAGGAACGGAGTAAAGGTTGTATCTTAAGCCCCGGCGTGGTAGAACAGGGGAGGCACCGGCTGTTGGGAGGAGAGCAGCAGGTATTGGCACGCTAGGAAAGGGGTAAAGCAAATATCCTGGTGACCGGATAAGTACGATGTGGTGACATATTATCTATCCACCGGCAGCACCGGAACGAGACAATGGAGGAGGGGCTGCGACCTTACGGAATTAATTGTCATTTCACTTTCCACCCTAGAAGTTGAGACCCTATATTTAAACTAAGTCAATAGGGGGAAGTTTAAAAAAAAAAAAGTTATGACATAATTTAGCCCCGGGATTACTGCCAGTTTACAGGGTGACCGTAGCCAAATTTAATTTTGTCTCTATTTTACCCATTGCCTTTCTATGGAAGCTCTCGAGGGTGATGTGAGATAGTGCAAAAAAAATACCTTTTGGAATGTTTGTCGTATTTAAAGGTGGCAGTGCCTTGAATAGATTTTTTTGTTGTTAATAATGGGGACACAGTGCTCATAGGGGGCTATCCAGTCAGGACTTTTACCCAATTAAGGGTGACTTGTGCTACAAACAACTGTTTCACAGAACTAAGAACCTCACCAATATGCAGAGAACAGAAAAGTAGTGGTAGCATTAGGCTGTAGATCCTAAGAAAATATTTTTTTACATATACATCACACTGAGTTTGATTACATAATTTCTTCCACCCCATAAAAAATCATCCAGTACTCCTGCATGGAAGAGATTTGTCTATCATATTATTGAAGCCAAGGCCCTCAAAAATTTGAGTCCTGGTAACCTAAATGAGTTTTACATTTAAACACATCCAGTAAATATTTGTTAGTGCTATAATCTTAAGTAAATGAATAGTGATAGTGAAACAAGACAATCTGATACATAAAACCATGTTGTCCCTAAATCTTTGCTTTTCTTAACTGTTAACTTGGAATCTGAAGCTTTATGCCAAAATTAATTCACCATTTCCCTACTCTGACATTGACCCTCTCTAGTAGAGATCAACAAACTACTGGAATGTAGGCCACATGCAGTCTAAAACTTGTTTCCATCCAGCCAAGAATGAATTTTTTACATTTTTAAAAATTCAATAAAGACTATAGGTTACCCGCAGTGCTTAAAATCTTTGTTTTTTGGCCCATTCGGGAAAAGTTTGCTGGCCCTTTCTCTAGGGTATACCAAAAAGCAAATTGTGGGGCATCTTCTTCCCAATACCAAATTATTTCCAAAGTGGTGGTACCTACTTTAGGTGCAATTTACACTTCCACCCACAACACACAAGTTTCAGCTCCACTAAATTCTTGCCAGTAATTGAAGTCATCAGATTTTAATTTTAGCTAAGTTATGGGTACCTATTGGTTTCTGTGGTCTTATTTTTCCCTAGTGATACTGAAGTTGTATATTGTTCACATTTATTGACTTTTGTCTTTTTGTGAAGTGCCTGTTCAAATCTTTTCTCAATTTTTCTATTGGGTTATTTGCCTTGTTTTGTAGTTCTGTTTATGCTATAAATACTAACCACTCCTTTAGTTACAAACATGTTCTCCTACACTACCTTATTTTCATGATATCTACTGAAGAAACAAGTTATTAAGTTTAATATTGGCTAGGGTTTTATAAGTCTTCTGTGTTTAGTGCTATTTGTGAATTGTTCAGGAAATATTGTTTAAGATTACAAAGATACACTGTATTTCTTAGAAGCTTTGGGTATTGCTTTTCATTTTCATGTTTTTTTAAGGGTCAAGATGGAAAATCATAAACCACATGATACTATCAAGGAAAAGTCAATTTTTGATATCATAGCCAGAAAAATTGAACTACTACCAGAAGCAGAAAGGTAGGATCCCTTAATTTAAAAATGTTTTTTCCAGGTGTGTTTTCATTGATTTGTTATCTCAAATTTACGTGGATTAAGTATGAACAACATAGACTATCAAAAGGAAAAACTAAACCCTTTTCTTGCTTTGATGAGAAAACTGAGGCCCCAAAGAGCTTAACCATTTTATTCAATATCAAAGCTAAACTGTGGAAGTTGAGGCTGGATTTCATGTCTTCAGACATATCCAGTTGTATCATGATTCATTTTTTCATTTTAGCTTGGAGTACAGCAGTATGTAAACAGTCATGGACTCATTTAAATAACGAAACTCTTTCTCAGTTCATTTCGATCAGTGTACTTACCTGTCTAAAAAATATGGCTGTATATATTTTTATGGGAATGGGATCTTGGCTAAAGGTTTTTAAGATATGATTAAAGAGAAAAATATAGGAAACATATGGTCTTTGAAGACAACGAAGATAACTACAGTACACTTCCAGAAAACACTCTTAGACTTCAACAATTAAAATCTTTCTAATGAAAATATATTTAAAATGAAAAGGAGCTAACCTGATTAAGAGAAACAGAATCTCAGGTAGAGGGAATAGGACATACCAAAGAGTTTGTCATATTTGAGGAACCAATGTTACTGAAATACAAGGGAAGTGGACATTGGAAACAGAACAGTTTTAAGGAGGAAAATGTGATCCAATTAAACTTCCTAATGAACATTTTTTAGAAAACAGATTTAAGGTAGGAAGGAAAAGAAATATTAGAAAAAGTGGCATAGTTATATTGGTGAGTACAGGGTGCAGAGTGGTGGCAGTTGAAATGAAAAAAGGATTTAAAATACATTTTGGAGCTATACTGTCTTCAGGTGTGATAACTACACAAATTCCAGCCTTGCTATTAACTATCTCAACAAGGGAGAACCTAAAGTCAAGAGCAGTAATAAGAACTGGGTGAGATTTTAAAGGTTTTCTGTCCCTCCCCACCACTACATACCACTTTTCTTGAGGTAAAGAGAAAAACTTATAGAGCAAAAAAGGATGTTTCCAAGCCAAGCAAGGTAAGGAAAACCATAGACTGACACAAGGAAATAAAGAGATGGTAGCAACTTTGAAAAAGTAGGCAATCACTGGGTCCTTTACCAAATTATACTGGGAAGTGAACTAAAACTGAAATGTGAAAATTTAGTTCAAAGATACTAAATTGCTTTCAAACAGTGGCATGTAGTAGTGTTCTTTGTTCCTTTTTCTCTATATTTTCATTTTATCTTTTAATTTTGAATCCTCACCCCTTTGTGCATTGTCAGACCATTAACTATGCTTAAGTTAGTATGTTCTGAACTGTATAAACATTTTATAACATAAAACTTTCCAATCTATACAATAATCACATGTTCCACGTATGTCACTGCCATTTGCTAAATTTGATCTTTTTTATATTTAATGAGCCTGATAGTTAGCTGTGTTTTCTTTTAAAAGAGAGAATTTTTCAATATTTACTTTTTAGTTTTCGGCAGACACAACATCTTTGTGGTGCTGAGGATCGAACCCGGGCCACACGTGTGCCAGGCAAGCACGCTACCGCTTGAGCCACATCCCCAGCCTGTTAGCTGTGTTTTCAGTTGTGCATAACTTGTTTGGAAAACTGGCTGAACCAAAAGAATTGGCCTAAAAACCTTAACTTTGGCCATAGAAAATTAAAATCTGGTTGAGAGAAAACAGTTTGCTTTTCAGATTCCAGTTTTACTACTTGTTTTATTATCTAAGCACTGGTTCCTATGATTAAAACAAGGATAGTACACATATATTTTTATGATGAAATAAATACTTAGATTCTTCAGAGAAGGCTCATATGTCCCATTTCCTCAACCCTCCACAAAAAAAAAAAAAAAAAAAACAGGCCTTTCACATTTCCATGTTTTCTGTGGTTGTTTGGTAGGCTCTCTAAACTCTTATCACACTCTTTGATATCTTATATATCCCAAGTTCCCAAACCATTTTTGTAGGCTTTGTTCTATCAAGTTTATGTCTTTCTTCTTAACAATTAGACAATTAGTCAACTATAAAATCTTTGAAGGCAGAAGAGAATTTTTTGTGCCTTAGCACTAAGTCTGCAATAGGTTCTCAGTGAGTGAAATGATAGACATCATTATAAAGTACCATGTAAGAATAGTAATACCCTATAAAATATAGGAAATTAACTAGGAGTTCCTAGAAAAGTTGTCTTAAGTATAAACTGAAGAGGTTAGAGGGGATATTGTGTGGCTTAGTTTGACTAGTAAGAAATTTAAGAGGGTGAACTGTGTTGAAGATAGCAACTAAGTAGTAAGCTGAAGTGTTTCGGTTGGAGTATTTCCAATATCAAGTGATAATTTTAGGTATTGTTTTTCCCAAAAAAGAATAGAATGGGAGTTGTAAATTCATACACAATCTTGGCTTAAAATCCATTTCTCCCACTTATTGTCTCAAAACATCAATATATCCGTCAATTAAAGTACCCAGTGATATAGAGTATCACTTTATATTACCCTATCCTTAAGTACTGACCAAATTTAAAAGTCTTTTAGTATTAAAGTCTAAAACAGTGATTTAAGGTTTTGGTTTAATGGAGCTGTAAAGGATAGATGTTGTCTAGTTATTCCCAAAGCCCTAGTAATGCCAAAATGGAAGAGTTCACAGTGGAACCAAAAAATTATTTTTTTCTTACCCTCAGGAATCTACTTGAACATGGATCCACATATATTGGACTTAATGCTGCTCTTTGTGGCCTAATAGCAAACAGTCTTTTTCGGCGTGTCTTGCATGTAACACAGGCCAGAATAGCTGCTAGCTTACCAATGGCAGTGCTCCCATTTTTGACAGCAAATGCATCTTTCAAAGGTTTTGTAAGTTTACCTTTGAGTACAGGTAAATTCTATTTTACTATTACCAAAGACTTTGCCTCAAATATTATTTTCAATTTAAATATCAAATAACTATATGCAGTGTTTGGGTGAGACTATCTCGATAATCTGTTATGTGGCAATGAATTCATGTTAGCAT